GAAAGCTATTGTATTAACAGGGAGATAAAGGGAGCAATAGTGTTCTTTCAGGGAGAAGGCATAAGTTGTCACCTACAGACAAAGTGCTTCCAGGTGAGGTCTGAACTAAACAGACAGACACAGAGCTCCAGAGCTCAAAAAGGCTGGTGGTCAGGATGGGCTTTTGCTGCCTGCTGAGTTAGAGATTCAAGGCAAGGAGAGAATGGGATGACCCAGGCTGACAAGGGAAGAGGACCCAGTACTGCATCCCAAGCAATGACAATAGCTCATGGACTAGCAAACAAAAATGAGGAGGCAAGAAATAACAGGGGGGAAAACAGACGACCAATCTGAAATGAAGAAGAGATAAGATCAAGTGGATGGTGTTTCCTGGGATAATAGAGGCTGCTTATGCATTTGTAAGGCCAAAGAAGGAGCTCATAGAGAGAGGAGTGGAATACAGATGAGGTGGGATCACCACCAGGGTCTGTTCTGGATGAAGCAGAGGGTAGTTTGGGGGCAGATTAAGGACAATTTTCATCTGAGAGAAGTGGAAGGCAGGAAGGAGGGAAGATAAATCATTTAACCTCTCAAAAGTGAGACTCAATTTCTTTCCTATAAAATGAGATCATTGCACTAGGTAAGGTTGGAAACCTCATCATCAATTCTAACATTTTAAGAAATAATATCCCTCTGAGCCCCCTCTAGCTGTTTTTGCAGTTTGATCTTGGAGTGAAGCTTTTGTAAATGATATGCTATTCATTATTTTGAAATATAACACAGAGAGACACGCTATTTATGGCCTGGGATCACTGAAGGAATCTATATTTTAATATTTTAATGATGTGGGAAGAATATTATCGCTCAATGTCACTTATATATTCCTGCCTGAAACTGTAAGCTGAATGCAACCATGAGGAAAGAGCAGACAAACCGAAAGTAAGAATCATTGTCTTTCATTTTTGAGATACTGTTTGCTTCAAAACATGAATGTCATGAAAGGCAAAGAAAGCTTATGGAAATATTCCAGATTAAAGAAAACTAAGTTGATATAGCAACTAATTGTGATACCTTTTCCTAGACTCAATCCTGTCCCAGAAGAAAAATGTCTGCAGTGGGCATTGTGAGATAAATCGATGAAAGTGAAATATTGAGGGTGAATTAGAAGAAAGTATTGTATCAATGTTGCATCAGTTGAAGTTCACTGATGCACCCATCAGTGAATAAGTGAGTAAGTTCACTTATTTACCCATTCATGGTAAATAAGTATAGGTGCACGTTAGGGTGAGTTGCTAGAGAGAGAGCAAGCATAAAGACAAAGCAGTGAAGTCATACGATGGTCTGGACAACAGAGGTACAAGTGTTCAAGGTGCTATTTTAGTTTTTCCGTAAGTTTGACATTATTTTCAAATAAAAACTTAAAGAATGCGTTGTTAGCTAAAGGAGTGTTCAGAGTTCTGTGTCCTGTGTCATAAAAAGTTCTAGAGACCTGTACTCCAATAATAAGGCAGTGCTTTCCTGAAGGGATCTATCTTAGCACTGGAAATAACCTAGCTGATCTTATTTACATAAAGAGCAAAAGACCTCAGCAATTCTGAGGCAGGTGTGATTGTGTAATTGATCTATTGTAATTTGTAATCAGTGAAACTTGTTTATTGAAGGTGGAGTAGAAAAACTGCATTGGAAAAAGAGTGTTGAGAGACTTATTTCTACAATGACTCCATATTTCTGTTCAGATATGTATTTGTCTTATAAAATTAATTGATAAAGCAGAAGAAAATCACAATCAAATGAAGAAAAGAAAATCTAATTGTTGCTAAAGCAGGGAATTTATAAAAAGAGTGGCCAAGGTGGACATGAAGGTCCTGGTTCATGTAGATTCTTTTAGTTGCAAGATGTGTATATAGAAAGTAAAGCCTGAGCCAGGTGTGGTGGTGCATGCCTGTGATCCCAGCTACTTGGAAGGTGAGGCAGGAGGATTGTGAGTTCAAAGCCAGCCAAAGGAAAGGTAGCACAATTCCATCTCAGAAACGAAAGGGCTGGGAGCACAGCTTAAGCAGTAGAGTGTTTGCCTAGCATGTGCAAGACCTTGGGTTCAATCCCCAGTACTGAAAAACAAAAAAAGGAAAGAGAGAAGAAAACAAAAGAACAAAAGAAGGAAGGAAGGAAAGCAAAGCCTATAGGAGGTGTTTGCTTTCAACTGCCAGCACATCACCTAGAGGCCCCAGAATGTGAAGCAAAGGCTGAATTATTCTTTTGGACATGCAGCACAATGGGTGAAGATTACAGAGGATTATGCACAATGCTGGTGTTTTTATTGTTTCCTGTTTGTTGACAGACAATTTTATGATGCTGTATACTTAGTTTGTTACTACACTGTTGGGCATACTTTTGAAATGTTTCAGGTTTCTGGGGATTTTCAGATTTTGGAATGTGTGCATATACATACACAGATACCTTAGAGATGGGACCCAAGTCAAACCCAAGATACATTTATGTCTCATATACACCTTGCACACATAGCCAGAAGTGGTAACTTGAGACAATGTTTTTAGTGCACCTGTATTTTGATTGTGACCCATCATATGAAGTCAGGTGTGGAATTTTTCATTTGTAGTATCATGTGGGTGTCCCCAAAGTTTTGGATTTTGGAGCACTTAAGATTTTGAATTTTAGAGGCTGAAGGTGTGGCTCGAGAGGCAGAGCACCTGCCTAGCATTGAGCTCAATGCTCTGAGTTCAAACCTCAATACTGCCAAAAAAAAAAAGATGTTGAATCTTTTAATTAGGGATGCTCAACCTGTATTTTTTTTTCACTGCTTCGGAAAACAGATTTAAGTAACATCTTCCTGTGCAAACTGGTAGAAAACTGTCTTCCAGAACCACTCAGGGGGTTCTTTGGTTTGCAGCAACCTGACAGATAATGCAGTCATCTTCCTGAAGGTGGCGCTGTGGCTGAGCGCTTGCAGAAGGAGGCTGGCTTATGAAAAGAGGAGGGGCCCAGCTTAAAAGCATAGAGTTCTGTCCATTCAAGAGGTTGCTGGTGCATGGCTGTAACCCAAACACTCCTGAGGTTGAGGAAGGACGATCTGGAGATCAAGGCCAGCCTGGGCTGGGTAGCTAGACTCTATTTCAAAAACACAGAAAGACAAGAGTCTGCAAGTCTGCAAATAGCACAGATTTACAGGGAGTGGGCTATGAGCAGCTTCTATGCCATGCAAAGGTGTTGAAATTAAAATGGCATGACCCTTTGTTCTTTCATCCTAGATTCCTTACGAATAGATTGTCACACAGTCATTATTGTGTCACTTTTTTCTTCCCCTCCTCTCACTTTGTTCATGATTTTGAACTTTGCGCCTTCTTTCTCTTTTCACTTCTGAATTTGCTGTATAATTGATGTTGCTGTTTTTCATTGCATAGAAACTGAATTATCATAAACTCCTTTGTGTACTAGTCTCTGACTTACCTAGAAATATTGCCATAGGCAGCTGTCTGTGTCTTACAGCAATGAAAGACTTTTGTTCTGGCCAGAAAAATACCTAAAGATCCTAGTGCCCATATCTGGGCATTCTGCTAGTAGGAGGAAGTATGAGAAGTGGCTTTAAAAAATATTTTCTTTATCAGTAATTATTGTTGGAGTTCACCTTAATCAAGGAAGATGGGTAAGAAATGATTGTTGGAGTTAAGTTTTTTTGTCTATCAATTAATGTGTCCCTTTTCTACAAGAGTTGCTTTTTTAAATTCATTTTTGAAAGATGGTAGACAACAGGGTTATTCTTTCTATAAAAAGAAAAATACCAATTCTATCATAAGCTCTTGGCAATCAACACACTTTCTATTATTCCAAAGGGGGAGAAAAACTATAAGTGGCCTGGTTGTGATTAATAATAGATCTGATGAAGGAAAAGCCAGGTATCTTGTTAAGCTGGACTTTACAATATATGAGTCCTTTCTTGGTCTTGAAAAGTCTTGGTTTAACTCCTTAAGTAAACCAGTCACAACACAGATTGTCACAACGTCCCAGTGACAAAGTGTAATGCTCCAAAAGAGCACTCTTCCAGGAGGCTGCTGTGTTTTTAGGTGAGCCCTGCCTGAACCATAAACATCAACTTTGGGTCAGGGAAGATGGAGTAAGAGTGCAGGAAAGTCATGGAAATGCTTCCTAAAGTTTGGAAAGCAACTTTTAGAAAGAATGTTAACCAAATGGGGCTGATAATGATAAAAATAAGAGAAGTGGCTGAAAAGGGATTTCAATAAAGTTTTTAATTTATGGAAGGCTAAGAGATGAATGACAGTGGGCAGCTATTTCTTCTTTGAAGGGAAAGGCAGCAGACAGACAGAAGCTGCAGGAAGAGGACCCTTACATTAGAAGGAAAAACATACCAAGTTGCAGAAGAAAGGATGCTAAGCTTGTTCTTTTAATTCCTGCCCTTCTGTTGAAGAAAGAGTAAGCTGTCTTTGAGTACAGACTACATTTATTCTTGCACAGAAGCAGAAAGTGAACCAGCTATCCCTTAGGTTTCCTGTGATGCTGTGTCCCTTTAACCACAGACTATCCAAACTGAGAGGGAGTCCTGGAGATCATTGCTTTATAAACGAGGACACTGGTTTCAATGATTGTCTAAGGTCATACAGGTAACAAATGGTTGTGGAACGACAGCCCAGTTTTGTCAACCTCGAGCCCATGGTTGTTTTCCTTATTACACAAAACTACCTCTTTCTTCTACTTACACCAAATACACAGGAAGCTAAATCCCACCCCATTTCCAGATCTCAGACTCCATGCTGGTTTTGATTAGCAGTCCCATTAGCTTCAGGCCTTCTCCAGATGGCTGTCGCCTCAAAGAGGACAGTTACTACAACCCCCATGTGAATGTTTAGTCCAGTTAAAACTTAAAGAAATTAAGAACTTCTGCTGAGGTCAAAGTTAGCCTGTCCCAAACCACCAGCTCAGTTTGACTTGACTTCAGGGCCATCACTGCATTTCACTTTTAACAGATGTCTTCCTATTTGCCTTCCTAGGTTTCACAGCAGCAGCCTCCCTCGTGTCCTTGGCTTGGGCCCTGGCCTCCTACCAGAAGGCCCTGAGGGACTCTCGAGATGACAAGAAGCCTATCAGCTACATGGCTGTCATCATCCAGTTCTGCTGGCACTTCTTCACCATCGCCGCCAGGGTCATCACTTTCGCACTCTTCGCCTCAGTTTTCCAGCTCTACTTTGGGATCTTCATTGTCCTCCATTGGTGCATCATGACCTTCTGGATCGTCCACTGTGAGACAGAATTCTGTATCACCAAATGGGAAGAGATTGTGTTTGACATGGTGGTAGGGATCATCTATATCTTCAGTTGGTTCAATGTCAAGGAAGGCAGGACACGCTGCAGGCTGTTCATTTACTATTTTGTGATCCTTTTGGAAAACACAGCCTTGAGCGCACTCTGGTACCTCTACAAGGCTCCCCAGATTGCAGATGCGTTTGCCATTCCAGCGCTGTGTGTGGTATTCAGCAGCTTTTTAACCGGTATTGTTTTTATGCTGATGTACTATGCCTTCTTCCACCCTAATGGCCCCAGATTCGGGCAATCACCAAGTTGTGCTTGTGAGGACCCCGTCACTGCCTTCTCTCTGCCTCCAGAGGTGGCCACAAGCACCCTCCGGTCCATCTCCAACAACCGCAGTGTCGTCAGTGACCGCGATCAGAAACTTGCAGAGAGGGATGGGTGTGTACCTGTGTTTCAGGTGAGGCCCACAGCCGCATCCACCCCATCATCTCGCCCACCACGGATTGAAGAATCAGTCATTAAAATTGACCTGTTTAGGAATAGGTACCCAGCGTGGGAGAGACACGTGTTGGACCGAAGCCTACGAAAGGCCATTTTAGCCTTTGAATGTTCCCCGTCTCCTCCAAGGCTGCAGTACAAAGATGATGCCCTTATTCAGGAGCGGTTGGAATATGAAACCACTTTATAAAACAAGAAGATCTGCAGGAGTCACAATGTCCAGATGAAGGGGTGACAGCAGGGTTGTGGCAATAATGACACTTCATCCTAGAGTAGGGCAAGAACTCAAATGTTCTTAGTCTGACCATCAACGTGATTGTGGTTTGATCTCCCATCAGCTGACTGCCTGCTGCTGGTCCCTTTTCCAACCAGCACTGCCAAGAGTCTCTTACTCCGCCTGATGGGGCAGCACAGATTGGTATGACTGTTGCTACCACACTCCTTCTCAATCTTGGAGCGCATCCACAAGAGGGCACCATTATTATGGAAAATCTTGCCTCCAATCAATTGGGTGTTTTCATGGAGTTAACTGATTTTTACATAAATATATTCAGTAACACACACACACACACACAACAACAACATTCCTCTGTCAAAACAGCTTAGGTGATTTTCCTTGACTCAAAGCACTGATTCCCATAGGAATAGAAGAACAAAAAGACAGAGAGAATATATCCCTCAAGACTGCAGAAAAAAAAAATAGTACTGCTTAGAAAAGCATTCATAAACCATTTTCTCATTTGGAAACAAACATCGTGTGTGAAAAAGCTATCCACTGGACATCAAACTCAAGTGTGTTTACACATGTATTAGCATCCCTGGAGCAGTTCATTTTCTACACATTCTGAGATTCATTTTTTCTTTTTAAGTTTTCAGTTGAGAACATCCTTTATGACAGAAATCCTATGCAGCATATGTATGGCTTTGACAAGACCAAGGAGCTCAATAACTTCATGATGCAGATTAAATGATAGTCACGATTCAGTATTCAACTGCAAAAGTTTAATACATGCACAAAGAGTAATTAGGGAGCAGGGGGGTGCAAAACGAGAATCTGATTCCCAGGAGCGTGCACCTCACATTGGAATATAGGGGCAGAGCCAGAGGGAAAGGGGCTGTAACCAGATCTCTTTCCGAATGTAGAATTTGTGACTTGCTCTGTGTGTGTGTAGGCAGGTATGAGTCCAGAAGACACCATGCCACGTCTTTCTAGTGCCAAATTCCATCTAACCACAGGACTGACATGGAAGCCCCAGCAACTGAGAACAAGTGGCATGGGCCCCCCAAAGGCAGACAAGAGAAGGATCAATCAAGTTCTCCACTGTGTATAGTCTTACCCACCCCAATCTAAGGTCAAAGTGACGTGTCTTCTAGAGGCTTTGGGACACCTTTTAGTAAGTATGAGCATACACATGCAATGAATATGCTATGAGGAAACCTGAACTGATTGAGGGCTTATCACTCTTATCAGCTAAGATTTGTATTTGAATCATCTGTAAAGTTACATTCTTACAACAAGCTTCTGGGTTTTAAATACCTCCGTACAGCAAGTAAACGTTCCCTGCTTTCAGTTCTCAGTGTCCTTGGTCATGGTGCTTTTTGTTGCATTAAAAGTGCCGGTCAAACTTTGATAGTATTTTTTTATAGTTGGTGCAGAGTGGAATAACTCATGGATTATTTCAATATTTTTGTAATAAAAAATATAGGGTATACATATAGGCATCATTGCTTTTTTTTATAGACCTGGAATTGTTTAAAATACTTTAAGCATCATAATCACTTGGGATGTCAGCAACTGGTCCACAAATTCATCAGCCTGCCTCAGAAGTTTGAAAACACTTGTCTTTTGTGAGATCACCCTACTTTGCAAGTTGGTGCCCCCAGGAACCTGGCCAGGGGTGCTATCAGAATATCAGGTGAAGAGAGAAACAGCCTAACTAGAAAGGGCTTGTCAAGACTGGCCAATGTTTCCCAGGAAAACAAAGATGTAAATGATTACTGTCATCCATCCATCAGAACAAACGACCACAGTGGAAGATGTCTTAACTTCCTTCCCTGGTTTTATATGAACCAACTGATATTAAAAGTTAGTCAAGTCATAGTCAAAAAAAAAAAAAAGAAAATAGTCAATGCCATTTAATTATTCACTTATTTGAACTATCCAATTCACCTAAAATAGCCAAGTTTTAGAGCTACCACCTGTAATGGATGTGTCATTCAGAGACCGCTGTCCTCAAGATGACATCCACAGGAAGTGACAGAGGACTCAACCTAGAATTTCTTTTGGTACAAAGCTCCAAAACAATACTTTAAAAGGCAGACAACTTTTATCAGTAGACATGTTTCCTTGTACATCATGATTTCATCCTCCAAGCAAGATTTCCTTTAAAATACCCTAATCTTTTGTTGGGATGTGGAAGGATTACCTAGCCATCCGCAAAGTTCCAAGAGGGTACTCTTCTTATCAGCACGTGGGGAAACTTTCCACCCCCACTGTAGGAGGAAAATGTAATCATTTTGGCAAATTCTTCACTTTTGTGCAGAACCATGAGTTATTTGCTTCATTAGTTCCAAGACAACTTTTAAGTGATAATCTTTGGAAGTTGATTTCTCAGTTCAACTATGCCTTTGATTTCAAGAGTAACTAACAGATCACAGTATAATAGTGTCAAGCAACACAAACATAACCGGCCCCTTCGCTCTTCAGTCATGTAAGTGTTAAGTTATTTTTCAACTTGATCTCGATCTCACAGATAACAAACATATTTAGAGTTGAAACTGTCATAATGTAAAGGAAAGTTAATGTTCCAGTCTCTTTTAGAGGTGAGGTTGGCAGTCAGGAGGGTGTAAGAACCTTGAATTTTACAATAATTTCTCAAATACTGTAAATATTCTGTTACCTGACATCCTTGAAGATTGTTTTAGCTAGTAATGAATTCTTGTTAAGGAGATGGTTTTTCTACCATGTCATATATTACAGCTTTTCAAAAGATTATGAGAAAGGAAAAAAATGAAAGAAAGAAAATGGCTTCAAGGGTTAGTCATGATTTAATCTGAATCCATGATTCAGAAAGCCTGACACGGCCTCAGACAGTTGTGGCAAGGACAGAGGCACAGAATTAGAATACTAGGATCAAGACATCCTCCTCAATGTACAAAGGAACAAAATTTGACTTCTCTATTTATATTTTAACTCTTTCTAAAATTTCATTTACATCTGACATTAAACCCTCTGCAAGAACAGGGATAACTGGATAAGTGACAGCACACAAATGCAATGATGGATGCTTACCCTCAGCCAGGATTTCCTGGGCCCGTGTCTACTTTCATTCCATGAAGAGAAGGGTCTGCTCTTAGCATTCACTGTTTGCATGGGATCATGGTGTTTTCTAAAGGAAAAATATTATGATTTTTCTTTGAAACTAAATTTCTAAATGTATCCACACTTGAGGAAAAAAAAAATATATATATATATATGTGAACACACACAAATCTATATCTAAACTATACTAAGAGTTTGAGTAATCATGTGGAAGAAAAAAATTTTTTTCCATAAGTCGAAGTTTGGTCATCCAAAATGACTATGTCTTTTAAATCCTCTTTGCATACTTGCATTGTTTACTTAACTATGTATGATCTAGTTCAGTAACATTGACTTTGCTGACACTCAGTTACTATTCAGTTATCATGAATACTGTTAACCCAACGAATGAAACAAATTCTCTTACCAACAGGTCAAGATTATGATTTTGATTTTGCTAATACTCAAGTATTAGCAAAAGATAACATACAAAGATAATCCAAAGATAAAAGTAAAATGAAGAATTTATGGTTAATTCCTAAATGTCCAATTTATGTTGCATTATGAACAAATGAAGTGATAGTGCTGACCAATTAAATAGCTTAAATCTCAGTGACTGTTTTTTTCATCATACATGAGTGTGTTACTAAAGTAACACATATAAACCTTGATACATATAAAGTGTGTTTTATTGACACACTTGTAGAGAAGCTTTACCTACTCCATTTTCAAAATCAACCATGTTTACAATACATGCCTAAAAGACCTTAACACATTGTGAACATCAATTGAAAATACCTACAGATAATTCCATGCTTCTTAGCTTGAACAAACATCAAATTCATTCCTTAAAGAGCTTTAAAGCAGTGTCATTTCAAAATTTCTTTCACTGAACAGATTGAATTGAGCAAAGAAAACCTCTGCGGTCCATACTAGGATTATGTTAGAGTGAACATTTACTTTCAAATTACCAAATGCCATTGAGCAGAAGCAAGTTCTGACACAATGTTTAGACAAGAATGCAGAGATTTTTTTCCTAATGAACCATTTTCTAGACTAAATATATGCTCCCTTGCATTCTCCACACATCTTTGCCATTAGCCATTACTGTTTCTATATAAAGCTTGGATGAGACGCCTGCGTTTTTATGTTTCTAAAGAGATTTCCTTAAAACCTTTTTTAAAAATAGCTCAGACTGTCTTTCAGAATCTAGCTCAGAGACTGGGTACAGTGCAGGCTGACAGTGCAGCAGGACTGAGGGGGTCCTTGGTATCATTTCAATGATGGATGCAGATCACTTCATATTTCTGCATCTCAGAGATCCAGTGTCACTTATGAAAACAATCAAAATCATTGCTTCTGCCAGCTTGTGACTCATGACATTCCTCCTACCACGAGATGCTCAGGTGCCTCAAAGGATGGGCCACTTCCTTCTAGCCTCATTTCTGAGTGTCTCCTTAACCTGTATCACTCTGTCAAATGATCTATATGTCGGATGGCATCTCCTCTCTTCGCTGGGGCACAGCACCTGAGGGGCAGCACCAGGACACTTTAGAGCTCTCTGTCAACATATGCCTTATCCATTTACCGTCCTGAAAATGGGCACAGGGAAAGAGACTCAAAACATGCCTGTGATCGACAGCCTCAACAGGATCATTACTCATGCAAAAGCAAAACTGAGGAATGTGGGCGGAATTGTATAAAAACATAATGAGCCATTTAATTTTGCTAATTGTGGCAATTAGGCTAGCTCACAAGCAGCCTGCTCCTACAGTAGAAAGCCAAATGGAAGATGTGGCAAACAGCCATGTGCCCACGGAAATGAGGGGTTCAGAAACACTCCCTGGAGTGGCTGAGGGGTAGAGTGGTTTCACCATCCATCTGATGCA